TAGGTTCAGGTGAACTAAAATGTTCTACAAAATCTTTATCGCAGAGTTTATTCCAATCCTCGATACTCATATCATTTTCCACATATAAAAATGCTTAAGTGCCATAGTATCTACAACTGAACGTTCTGAATCGAGTTTAAAAATTTCAGCTTCCTCAGGAGTAAGATTTTGAAAAGTGACGACTGCCTCAAAATCTATATGCTTGATAACTGATACTTCAGCCCTAATTTCATTACGAACCTTTTTACAAATCCCTATAACTCCTCGACTCTCATCCATTTTTATTAGTTTGAGACTTGCTCCTGTACTAGCAATAAGGCTACATGAAATCTCGATAAAATTTCTGGCTGAAAGATGTTTCTGATGCTCAACTTCAATAAATGATGTTACAGTGGGAGATTGATCGAGTTTATAGGAAATGCTATCTATATCCCATTCACGATGTCCTTTAATTGCTGTAGGCAAATCATTGGACCGAGCAACTGCAAGTTCTGCATGAATATTTTCATGGCCTGGTGAACGAGAAAATTTACTGGAAATTTTTTGATAATAAAGAGAAAGTATATGCTTTTCATAATCACGAATTCTGAACATTATCTGGATAAATGCTTCTACATTAACTGGAGTTCCAATATTTGTAATGCCTATAACTATGTCAAAGTGATTAGGTTTCTTGAAAGAAATACCAGCTTCTACTGTATTTGTATAGGCTACACAATCGAGTTCGCCTCAAGTAGTATTAATATTTAAAAAGTTATTTTTTCGTTGTTTTCCATCCATATCTCCATAATAAGCATGAGCTTTAAAAGATAATTTAGAAGCCTTTTCTACTAATGCTTGAGCCATATTAGAACTTGTTACAACAAATGCCACGCATTTACCTTGCTTCAAATACTCAAACCCTATTCGTATAGCTTCAGCTCCAGTATTTGGATCAGGAAGATATTCAATGGTCTTACCTATAAGAGGCTGAAATTTATTATCAATCACTCGGATATTTTCACCACGATAAGCCTTAAGGAATGTTAGTGTACTTTCATTTGCAAATGCATCTATGGCTAAAACGTGTTGAGCTGATCTTAATACATCACGCATTGCATTTTCAGATTCCCACGCATTTGAACCACTATTCATTTGGCATTAAATTGCATTGACTTCATCAAAAACTGTTATAATAAGACGAGATGAGAATTCGATATGAGAAAGGTTCTCTACTTGAACTATAATAACATCTCATTTATCTACGGACAAATTCTATTCATTTTGGTAGTTACAGATTTTAAGTCCCAATGATTTGAGTTCATTGATTTTTCCTTGTGATTCGTTACTAAGAGTTTTTCGATAAGAGATTCAAATAATAGCAGGTAATCGTGTTTCACTTCTAGATAAAGTCTCAATATTCTTTCTTAAACCTTTCGTTTTTCCTGTCATCATAGGAGAGCGAATCAAAGTTGTACTAGGTTCATTACTCAAGAAATTGGGATAAACTTCTGGAGCATTTTCCATTTCCTTTATATCAATAACTTCTTTAGGCAATTTAGGACGTGGACGTGGATTTAATACAGCTTTGGCGATTCTTTCATTTAATCCCAATTTAGGTTTCACTATTGATTTGACCTTGTCTGATATCTTATCGAAGCTAAGGCCCTTGTGCTCTGGCTTGTATTGTTTTTGGCGATAACACTTAAGTATAAAATGATCATTTTTTCAAATAAATCCATAGAGTTGGTCTTTTTCGTGTTTAACATCACATATAGGACATTCTTTAATGGATTGTATTTCAAAGTTGATAAATCCCTTCTCAATTCTTCCAATTTTAAGCCACCCGTAATTTGCAATAATTAAATTGGCTTCCTTAACCAAGACATTTTCATCATTAATAGGTTAGAATTCTTCTTTTACTGGCTTCTCAGAAGAAAAGGTTCGTGACCAGATCACAGAATAATTTGATTTTAGTTGAACCAAATAATCTTCTAGATTTTTAAACCCATTCTTAACAGAAGAAATAACAGGTCTTTTTATGCGTCCCTCTTTTACTGATCCAAGAAGCCGAAGATTGAAATGCGTTTTGGGAAGGCCAACATCAATGAACTTTGAATAAGGATTCCCAACTAGTTCTGTAACTTTTTCTGTAAAACCCTTAAGTTCTCTATAATCCACGAATTGAACCCGAGGATAAATAATATGCCAACTGCATTTCTCAGCATTTGATGAACTCGCTAAGGCAAAAGAATTTAAGAAAGGCATACATTCTGGAATAAGACTTAATGCATCCGTACAGGCAACTAAAATTCGAAATATCAAATCTTCTCTGGTAATTTTTTTACTATCTAAAGAAGGAAGTTGAGGATTATTAGAGTCAGGCTTTTGCCTTGCATCAATATCAATTACCAAGCGAAGAGGCTGGTTTCCATCAATACATTCATGTGTATTTGGTATTCTATAAACTTCTGTAGGATAATCAATTACTGTATAACCTTTTCCCGCCACCCGGATTATATATTGAGAATAAATCTCTTTGGGTTGGTATGCCTCTAAAACTGCTGTATCGTTTCTATTAGAAACGTTGGCATGACCATTAGATGCAAGTCAGTATTTATGAAATGTATGTTCTTTATGACCAGGTTTATAATCAAGATCTGTTAAACCCATAAAAAGCCTTTTTGCCTTATTATATTCAATGAATTTTTGATTTAGGCACTGCTGTTATAGGCTCGAAGAGCCATTGATTTGCAATAACGATTCACGCAAACGTTTTTTTGCTTCACTAGACAAGCTCATTTTATTGATTTGTATATATGTGTTGTTTGTATATGCGTTATTTGATTTAACAAAAATTATATATGTACTATTCTTTTGTAACTATAATAACCAGTAGATAAATCTTTAAAATAAAATTAATTCTTCACACAAATCATGCCAAGAAAAAATATAAATTTGATTGAAGTAATTTTATACAAAAGTAATAAAGGCCAATGGCATTTTCTATTGTCCATATATTCATAGAACTAGAAAAATCTGTGATCGACGTAGTTATAAACCAGAAAGATGTCATATTCATCGGAAATCTCCAGTATGTACCTCTTGTAGAGATTGTGATAAATTAAATCGTTCCAAACATAACGCATGTAGTGATCACGTAGGCAAGTATCAAAGTAGAGAGACTTATTGCAGAAAAAAACAGAATGAATTACATACAAAAATTGCTATGCTTGAGAATCATACACCTGACTTATTCGAATCAAGACACGAAATATAATCATGCGCTTGACATTTATCGATTATTTTTTTGAGGATCTCCTTAAATAATACTATATCCTCTTTAATGCCTGCTATATTTTGCGCAATCTTATTTCGCAGAGCTACGAATTCTGTAATCTTTGGTCGATCTCGTGCCTTACCCATGCTCATTTTTTAATAGAATTGCATCAACCACGATCCATTCAATTTTTGGGTATATACAACTCCGAGATAATTAATTTTGATTTGAAAAAGAATCCCCATAGTATATATCAGACAAAAGTAGTCTATATAAAACATCTCAACTTATTAACCATGACAAAAATCACTACATCGTTTGTAAATCGTTACAAATTGACTTCTCAAACTAGTTTACCTCAACTTAGTAATTATACTGAAGAGTTGGCTAGAAATCTTTCAGATGGTAAGACAAAAGAGCAGGCTCAAAAAGCCAGAGATCAGGTCAAAAGACACTTCCAACAGTTGGAGTTGAGCAAGGAGCAAGCAAATACTCTTATTCCTATTCAAGCTCCTGGGAGACGTGTTGAGGAAAGAGATCCCATTAAAGCTATTACGCAAAATATTATAAAAAACAATCTCTCACCTGAAGAGATAAATGGAATAGCATATGACTTGGCTTCTTCTGCTTCCACTCTGTTGCAGAAAATTCTCGTCTTAATTTATTACGGAAAGAATTGTATAGCTTAGGAGTTGATTATCTCATCACTGAGGCAACGAAAATACCCTTTATTACTGAAGAAGCAAATCAGATTCAAGCAAGAAAATGCATACTTCGTGGGATTAATGGTTACGATTGTCCTGAGTTCTTTTACCTAGAAAAAGATCAAGAAAGACTTAACGAATGTGATATTATCAGGCCTCCTTCGATGCAAAATCTAGTAGATGTGATGGTAATGCTATGTATGCGGTCAGCAGAAGTAAAAACTCTTTGTATCAATAGATACAGACCAAGTCGTGAATCATGATATAATTCTGACTATTCTTGGTATTGCACTGGTTATGCGAAAAATAAAGGTGAAGTAGAAGAACCCCGGCCATTCTTTTCAATGAAAAAAAATCCAATACGAGCAAATGAATTGCTTATCTGAATTCAGAAATCAATACCAGATAAATTTCCTTTCTTGTTAAAAAATAAGGATGGAAATACTAATGTTGCATCTCTTAATCAATTCTTAAGTCGTCATAAAATTACCTCATCTATATTAAGAAAAATAGGTGCCGATTATGCTTCTAGAGTACATGGAGGTAAGAATGATACTGGCTGTCAAAATTTATGACAATTGGCATGTAGGCATAAGATAGGCCATGCTTCATCAGTCAAACATTATAGTGTGATTAATGATAGACCAGTTACTCCAGCGCCTAGGTCAATTCCCCCTATGATTAAACAAGAATACGATGAAATTGAAGATATCTAGCTTGGTAGGGTGCCACTAATGTGGCATAGCTTATATGGGAGTATTTAGGCTCGAAGAGCCATTGCTTTACAATAGATTAGTAGTTATTAATCGTCAGATGCGATATCATTCTCACTCTGTAAGTCACTATCGAATAAATCATAGGTTTTAAATTTTTTTATACAATGTAATATACAATGTCCAGCTCCTTCATCAATACAACAATGATTTCTACAACAACCTAGTTTATTTAGTATATGTTTTTTACAATAACTTCCTAAATCAGGGTCATGGAATAATTTAGCACATTCCCGACATTTATCAAAATAATCTAAAAATTTGCTTTTATTAAGTTTTTTTACTAATTTTTTTATGTAACGGAATTCAATTGTTTTTTCATAATCTCTAGGTATATCATCACCCGAATCGAGGTACTCCACTGAAAAATTAATTTCGGCATCTTTCATTGCTTTAAAATCAAAAAGTTGATTCATATTGTATTTGTGAAAACTTGAGAATTCTATATAATAATAATAAAAATGATTGTGTAAATATCAAAACCTTGTGAGATTTCGTATCTATGATGAAGAGTAACCGCGCTTCTTTGCTCTTATCACATATGTAGCCATTTCATCATTAGACCTGTCATTAGATAATCTGGTAAAGAAGCTGAATGTGTTTGAGAATAATGGAAAAATGAATGCTATATGTGTTTAAAATTGAATATCTGAACATTAGTTATTTTTCGATTAAAGATATATAGGGCCTTACCCATTGCTTTGCAATAATATACAACTTGAAAATGGTACGTCTAAATATTTTTGATTACCAGAATTGCTAGAACAGATCTTATATTTTTTAGAAATCAATCGATCCCTCTATCCTGCTTTATTTGTCAACCACCTTTGGTATTACTGCGGTGCTCCTATTCTATGGTGACGCATTGAGTTTTTTTATAGAAAATGATTATCAGAGTGGTTGGCATGGTCGAAAGATGCCTCGAACTCTTACCCGGCAATTGATAAATTTTAAAAAGTTATGTGTGAAAAAATAGGGTCAAAGACCCATTACATAGTAATAAAGCTAACCTATTGCTTTAAAATGGTATATCTCAGATTAGAAGGTTTGAAAATCTCAGATGTATTGATTAGTATGATTCTATGCTCATGCCCAGATATACGCACTCTCATTCTTGATCGAAGTGTTAGTTTTTCTAATATACCTATTATAGAAATTACGAGATTTTGTCTGAAATTAATACACCTAAGTCTTAATTCATGTATATGCCTTACTAATCGATATATCATTGAAATTGTTTGCTCATGTCTAAAACTTAGACATCTTGAGCTTGGTAATTGTTCGATTGGTAATAAAGCTGTTGAGGAAATAGCTCGCAAATATACTAATTTGAAATATCTTAGTTTGAAGGGATGTAGAAGGATTAGCAATGAAGTGCTGAAAAAAGTCAATCTGAAAATTAAAATCGAATGTCCAGATTATTCAGATGATGAATTCTCTGATTCTGATTTACCTCCACTTATTCCAATCTTTACTGGTCAAGAAAATGGAATAGCTATAACCAGATCCTTTAGAGATTACTATTTGAGTCATATATCAAATGAAATGGATCGTATTTCTGCAATTATTAATTATCTCAGAGAGAATCCTTCAGCGCGGGTTATAAATATTTACATTTATTAATACACAATAAAAAATACAATATGTGCTTTAGCACTAGCTTCGCTATTAAATATATATTGTTTCAACCATAAAGTGATTGTCTTCAGTAATAAAACACTACAATGGAAATTATATCTGGTCAATGTGAACAAGAGAACCCATCACTGGCACAAGCTAATCTTTCTATAAAGGAGAAACTTCTCAAGAATATTTTTGTCACAGGATTAAATCCCAAAAACCAGCTGGTAGCAGAAGAATGCGGAAAATATCTTCTATTAGAAGGTTTAGTAAAATTGCTGACTATGAATGAAATACGTGCCAAGCATGATCTACCACCGCCATATCACCCATGAAATTTAAGGCATCGCTCCTAAAAATTAATTATCAAGTTATATAAAGTGATACCGCATGATAATTTTTCGTTTAACAAATTATATTTACCTAATGTAGGAAAGCAAGTCGGCCTACCCGTCTGCCATATTTATTTTTTTCAGTTAGCTTAGAGGATTGTGCATCCAAATCTGAGACAGGCTCTTCCGATCTTGAGAATGTACAATTATTTATCAAGTTATTAGTTATTTTTTGTGATAATATACATTATTAAATACACTTAACATGTTTGTTAATACACTCATCAAAGGAAAAACCCCAGTCAAAATGTTAATTGATACATCCTCGAAATTTAATACCATTAATAAGAGGTTGTTCGATAAACTTAAATCAAATCATGGAATACGTCCTATCTGTAGCTATACGTTATTACTAGTCGACCTTTTGGGCTAATTTTATTTTCCAAAAGGCAATTTACAACTAGCAACTCGTAAACAGTTACTTTA